GAGTAGTCGCCCTTCTAATTTTTCTGCGGGTCCACCCATGGTCACGCTTTTTACGAGCCTTCGGCTTGGGAGGGGGCAGGGAGGAGACTCCCGGAAGTTCTGGGCCTTATGTCAGCTCAATGCTGCACTTACGTATGGAGGTCTAACTTACCTTCACGAGAATTTTGCGGACTTTCGGTGGAAGATCCCGATGCCTGTGGCTGGCTATCAAGGACCTCGGCTGGAATAAATATTTTAATGAGGAATTCTGGCGTGAAATGAGGAAGGAGACTTACCATTTCGTTTACGTTTCGTTTCGACGACATGTGCAGCTTGCGCAGTTTGGGTGTTAGAGGACTGGTCCTCTATAACTATGTTGTGTTGTAAAGCACCGACGCTTCCCGTGGTGGTGCTGAAGGCATTGGTGCGGACGTTGGCGGAGGCTTCAACCGCATTGTTATGGACGGCGGTGTCCTCTCCGGCCATTGATCGCGGACCGTTTCCGGGATGTGTAATACGCGAATGCCTTAAATGCGTTAATAGCATCTCATTACTGACTGTCGTCTCCGTGTTTGCAGCCTGAGTGGCTACTAGTTGCTTCTGCATTTTGCAAGTAAGTACCATTGTGCTCTGTTGTGTAAATGAAGTATTAGATTGTGCTCTGGATTAGGAAATCCCCAATTGCCTTATGTAGAATTACTACACTTGGAATGTCTCAGATTATTAGACTTTACTATGTAGTATATAAGGTAGATACTTGCTTGATGTCTCAATAAGAGAGAGTACTTGGGGCACTCCTACTATGCTTGTTAAAAGGTTATGAGCCTTAGTGCCTATTGAATGCCTCTACACACTTACTCTTACAGAATGCCTTTGCCTCCTGCCAGACTACCAAGCCCAAGACCTTCATCTCCCCCTAAACCTATTACAATGTTGTCTACAATGTATACCTTTATTAATGTTACAATGAAGGACTCTAATGTTACAAAGTTCTTTAAGGGAACAGAAAAGTTGGCTAGTGTAAAGGGATACAAGATATGGTGCTTACACATACACAGTACACTTGCTGCCATAATACTCTTAAACCATCTAGAGTATGATCCCCCTTCCTCTAATGATGCTAGTATATGTACAAGCAATGTTTTGTATTATTATATAATGAAAACAATAACTGATACAATTTATGTGAACTTTACAATGTATACAAGTGTTAGAAGTCTTATGAAGGTGCTTTCTGAATGATACAATGTTCAAACAATAATAACACATACTGTAGACATATTTATGTTGTTTACAGTAAAAGGACATGTATCACAGTTTGATAAGACATTAGACAACATTGAACAAATTTACAGACAGTTGTCTACACATAATAAAGTCTCTAATAACAATACATACATCTTAGCAATTAACCTTACTACTCCTTGTGAGTATAGATGGGTAGCAATAATGCTAGTGAAGAGTTCTGATTTTAGTTACTATCAGATCTTCTTGATTTTATTAATTCTTTGGATTACATAATCACTTTCTTCATATAGTTAGTTCTTTCCTATTTAGAATGAAGGGAGAGTTTTGACTAGAGCCCACAACAATACTAGAGGGAACAAGCCCACCAAAACCTTGCCTCTCATTTTGGAGCTCACCACAAGGGGTGGTGCCTCTGTTCTAAGGTGTCTGGGTTGATTTTGTCTTGATCTTAGCCTTGAGAGCCTTACCTAGCTTGTTTTGAATTAAACTGACTGTTTTGACACACAAGAAGCACAATAATGTGGCTGCTAAGAAGAGGATCAAGAGAAGCACTGTACTTTGACAGTAGCAAGCTTAAGGAACTTCTGCAGTTCTTTGAAGACATTAAGATGTTAGCTGCCAACTTCTAGAAGGATACTGAGTGGATGTGCAAGCAAGCAACATACTATACAGTAATAAGCTGTAGCAGTTTGTAGGCTACTATGCTCAAGTTGAAGAAGAAAGGAGTACACAATTGGAGCATTATGAAAGAGGAGATCAGAAAGCTCTATCCAGAGCTAATTAATAGTTAATACTACACAAGAGCCAATATTATACAACTAGTCAATGTGTAGAGTGAGAAGGAAATGATGGTGCAGACAGAGTTTGGCTACTACTACTACAAGTTCCAGGTACAAGCAGAGTACTTGAAGGAGTAAGGGAAGATGTTAGTACACAAGTTAGACTGTGAGTTCTGGAGAGGGATCAGAGGGACACTGAGGACAACCCTAACACAATGACTAGAGATTCTCTATGTAGACAAGGATGTAAGTAAGCTGTTTAAATTCACTAATGTAGTCAGGCTAGCAGACTATGTTCTTCTAGTAGGGCAGACAGAGGCAGGCTGAGACTAGACAGTAATGTTACTAAAGGAGAAGCTAGAGAAAGAAGTAGGAGACAAGTATGCAAAGATTGTGAGGAAGCTTGAAGAGTTACAAGCTTAGGTCAACAAAGTAAGCAAGTCTAGGAAGATGCTAATGAATCAAGCACACAAAACCAACCAATCTACTGATTCTGTGAAATCCAACCTAAAGTACAAGAGGACCTACAACTTTTACAGAAAGTGAGAACATTTTGTACATAACTGTAGGACTGTGAGCAAGTACACTCAGAGGAGGAAGTGTATAAGGTTGGGGCAGAAGATTGTGTTAATGAGTAGAGCATTTGTGCCAGCTAGTGTAGAGGGAGCAACATTGAAAGAGTGTATAGACTGATACTACAAAGACAAGCCTGTGTTCACAGTAGGCACAATTAATGAAGCAAAAGATAGGTCAAATACAAGTGAGGGAGAAAAGTACAAAACTGTTCTTAGAGCAGATTTGGATACAGAGGTGACAAGGTTAGAGGAACACTTGAGGGATGTGAAGAGACAAAGAGAGGAGGCAAGGACTATGAAGGCTAACACAAAGCTAGTCAAAGTCAGACCAAAGCAAAGTGCTGAGTCAAGCAAGATTATTAAGTAGGTCTTAGACTGGATGATAGACAGTGTTGTCACATTAACACACTGTGAGTTGTTTGTAATAGCTCTGGAGCTTGAGTGCTAGTATACAGTTAAGCTTATAAGGATGACTCAGATGTATGACAAAATGCTGAGCAAGGCTGGAAGTGGACCTGTAAAGGCAGAGGAGGAAGAGATGAGTGAGGAAGCAAGGACTGACAGTAGAGAAGATTAGCACACAGGTACAAGCATTATACACAAGGACAACAAAGCACAGTCAAACCTAGTAGTAGAGCTGAGAATGAGCAGATTGTACAGGAAAGTAGTAGATTATGTTAGATTGAGTCAGATTCAAGCTAGAGAACAAGAATAAGAGTAGAGTAGAGGAGCAAGTGTAGCAAACAAGGCCAGAAGTGTACTAGTAAGGACAAGGGAGAATAGTGTAATGGATGAGCAGTAGAGGCTGTTACAAAGGGTAGTAGCAAGCTAGATGAACAAGGTTGGAAGTGCATCTGTAAGAATCAAGTAGTGAGACAATAAGAATCAGTCAAGCCTAGCAAGAATACTGAGCACAAGCAGATTATGTAGGAGGACATTAGAAGCTGTTGGATCAGAGCAGTGTTGAGCAAGGGAGTATTAGATAGGCACTCTAGTCAGTAACAACAAGGCTGAAAGTGTACTAGTCAGGCTAGTAACAGTAAAGCTGAACAACAAATTAGAGACTGAGAGCTTACTGGACCAGGGAGCTGTTATAAACATAATGTGTAAAGATGTTTGGAAATGCTTGAGAGTACTAAAGGAGCAAGTACAGACAAACCTCAGGCTAGCAAATGTAGGATCAATTACAATTAAAGGTGTCATTCTAAGACTCAAGGTGTTAGTAGGTGGAATATTAATAGTGATGCTAGTTCATATAGTAAAGGACACAATGTTCAACATAATAATTAGGAGGCTGTTCTTTGTGTTAACTGAGTGTAAGACAAAGGATTTCAAGGACAGTAATCAGATTTTGACCTTGACAGACTTAGCAGATCAGAACCAGAAGTGTCAGGTTGAGACCCAAGCAGCTGTTAGATGAAACCTACTACTTACTACTACTACCATCTATGTTAGAGTTGGAGAGGATTGGTCTAGCAAGCCTTTAGCCTTAGTACAGGTTACATTCTCTTTACTCTAACATTCCCTTATACCCCTTTCTTTTATAGACACTCATTCTTACTTGAGACTCACACTCTTTGTTTCTTTATCTTACTTTGATTGATACCTTTTATCCTTACTCACACTCTTTATACTTACCCTTCATTATTACTTCTTAAAGCAAGTGACTGAGGACAGTTACTATTTAAAGCTTGGGGAGGTGAAGAGTTCTGATTTTAGTTACTATTAGATCTTCTTGATTTTATTAATTCTTTGGATTACATAATCACTTTCTTCATGTAGTTAGTTCTTTCCTATTTAGAATGAAGGGAGAGTTTTGACCAGAGCCTACAACAACACTAGAAGGAACAAGCCTACCAAAACCTTGCCTCTCATTTTGAAGCCTACTATAAGGGGTAGTGCCTCTGTTCTAAGGTGTCTAGGTTGATTTTGTCTTGATCTTGGCCTCAAGGGCCTTACCTAGCTTGTTTTGAATCAAACTGACTGTTTTAACACACAAGAAGCACAATAATGTGGCCACTAAGAAGAGGATCAAGAGAAGTACTGTACTTTGACAGTAGCAAGCTTGAGGAACTTCTGTGCTTCTTTAAAGACATTAAGATGTTAGCTGCCAACTTCTAGAAGAATACTGAGTAGATGTGCAAGCAAGTGACATACTATACAGTAACAAACTGTAACAGTTTGTAGGCTACTGTGTCTGAGTTGAAGAAGAAAGGAGCACATAATTAGAGTATTGTGAAAGAGGAGATCAGAAAGCTCTATCCAGAGCTGATTAATAGTTAATACTACTGAGAGGCAAGGTTTTGGTAGGCTTCTTCCCTCTAGTGTTGTTGTAGGCTCTAGTCAAAACTCTCTTCTCCTCCATTCCAAATAGGAAAGAACTAACTACATAAAGAAAGTGATTATGTAATCCAAAGAATTAAATAAAATCAAGAAGATCTAATAGTAACCAAAATCAGAACTCTTCACCTCCCCAAGCTTTAAATAGTGACTGTCCTCAGTCACTTGCTTTGAGAAGCAATAATAAAGGGTAAGTATAAGGAGTGTGAGTAAGGATAAAAGGTATCAATCAAAGTAAGATAAAGAAACAAAGAGTATGAGTCTCAAGTAAGAATGAGTGTCCATAAAAGAAAGGAGTATAAGGGAATGTTAGAGTAAAGAGAATGTAACCTGTACTAAGGCCAAAGGCTTGCTAGACCAATCCTCTCCAACTCTAACATAGACAGTAGTAGTAGTGAGTAGTAGGTTTCATCTAACAGCTGCTTGGGTCTCAACCTGACACTTCTGGTTCTGATCTACTAGGTCTGTCAAGGTCAAAATCTGATTACTGTCCTTGAAATCCTTTGTCTTACACTCAGTTAACACAAAGAATGGCCTCCTGATTATCATGTTAAACATTGTGTCCTTCACTACATGAACTAGTATCACTATTGATATTCCACCTACTAACACCTTGAGTCTTAGAATAACACTTTTGATTGTAATTGATTCTACATTTGCTGGC